GATGATGTGTTTCACAAGACACAGAGTAGCACTTCCCAGCCTATATGATATCAGTGGCCTTAGTATACCCGTGGTTCAGCAATATATATACGTAGTCGTGCCATAAGTTCTGTCCCATGATAATCTCATGATAAAAATGAAACAAGATAAGATATATTTATATGAAAGATATTATTTATTCGACAACATTTTTAGAATTCATAATCAAACAGTTTTATTCAAAATGTCCCCCCTTGGCCTTCACACACTGCTTCAATCTCGCGGGCCACTCATCTATCACTGCACGCACAGCTTCCAAAGGAATAGCTGCCGCTGATCGGATCAAATCCGCTTTCAGGGACTCGATATTACGGTGGGCTTTGGAGCAGGCCAACTGCTCTAGCAGGTCCCACAACTTGTAGTCTAAAGGATTGAGGTCTGGACTCCCTGAGGGCCAATCTTCCGCAGCAATGAACTCTGGCACATTGCTTTCCAGCCAGCGCTGCGTACTCTTAGCCTTGTGAGCGGGGGCGGAATCCTGCTGGTAGACCCAGTGTTGGTTGGCAAACAATGTACCACTTAAAGGCTTGACGATAGGATCCAGTATGTCGCTCTGATAGTTTGCCGCTTTTGTTTTCACGCCCTGTTTACAGAAATGGAGCTGAGTGACCCCTTCGTAGGACACCCCCCACCAAACCATGACTGACGCAGGGTGGTGGCCTCTCTCAACTCTCGGAATGATCTCCGAAGCTTCCTGTGAACTCCTTGCATACACTTTGTCATTTTGTCGGTTGAATTTTTCTTCTATGGTGAAGATTTTCTCATCCGTGAACAAAATCTTTCGGAATCCCCCAGCTGCGTACCTCTCCAAGAGCTTCTTGGATCTTGTCGCCCTGATGTGTCGCAAGGTGGCCGTAAGTCGCTGGCCCGTACGTCTCCGGTAAGCCCCTAGCCCTAGGTCTTGTTTAATGATGCGCGACATCGTCCGGACAGGAATCTTCATTTCCCTGGATAGGATCTTCTGCTTCCGGAGTGGATTCCTTTGAATCCTGGCTTTTACGGCTTTGATGGCTGCTGGAGTCCTTACTTGACGAGGTCTTCCGCTTCTTGGCCTGTCATCAACAGAGGACGTCTCATTGTACCGCTGAATGGTCCTAGACACAAATTTACGCGATATTTGAAGGCCGCGTAAGAGTTCAAAAATCTGACTAGCACTGTGATTACACTTATGTAAAGCTATCACTGCAGTACGGTTCTCTGCCTTGCCCCACTCCATCGTTATGCTTCGAGAGATCAATACAAACTGAGGTATATGTAATTACCCGAAAAGCGCTTAATCAACTGACACCACAATGTAAACAATCGGACAAGTATTAACAGGTCTACACTTGTTTGAAAACGAGGGACAGAACTTATGGCATGACTACGTATATATATATAACTAGGAGTAGTGCTGGATTGTAAGCTCACTTGGAGCAAGCATATTCAGTACTTAAAAACAAAAGCTGAAAAAGGAATTAACATACTTAAGTGCACCACAAAGAATAAGTGGGGATCAGATCCTAAAATAGCGCTTATTTTTTACCAGTCTTACGTAAGGTCCGTATTGGACTATGGTTGTGTGCTGTGTGGTTCCGCGGCTAAGTCTCACCTAACTAAAATTGACCGAATACAATATCAGGCCTCGAGAATTTGCATGGGAGTCATGAAATCAACACCACGTCCAGCAATCTTAGCTGAAGCAAGGGAACCTCCTCTTTCATTACGAAGAAGGTACTTTGCAGAGAAGGCCGTTGTCAAATACAGAACCTATAACGAAGACTTGCTTAATAAGATATCACCATTAGTAACTGCAGACTTGACTAACAATTACTGTCGAAAAAAATCTTCACCACTGCCAGCTGAAGCTTTCGTAGAGACCAGTCATCTCGCTAATTTAATTCATCCAATGGATAATCACCCATTATATGTTGGCCCTTATGAAGTATTCCTTAATGAAACAACCATCACAGTCCCTACATATACCGAAAACTGTTATTACAATAGGTCTGTTCTGTCTGCCGTATTGGAAGATCTCAATTGCCAGACTGTCGTCTATACCGCCGGCTGCAAAAGTGAGATGGGTACTAGGTGGGCATTCTACGTCCCACAAAAGGATTATTGCAAGGGATACCGGATTCCTGACCTGTGCTTCATATTTACAGCAATACTACATTACAGGCAATTTTCTGGTGGCTTTCACAAAATATTAATCATGCAACAATTATTACAGATTCGAGATCAGTCTTAGAAGCAATTACAAAATCCTCTTAAATCATATGATAACTCCTTATTATGCAAAATCAGAAACTTGCTCTTTACTTGTCAAGCCAAAAGAGCAAAGATAAACCTTGTTTGGGAAAAAGGGCATGCTGGTATCAGAGGCAACGATATGGATGATAAAGCTGCAAAAAATGCAATTAACTCCAGTTCGATTACTGATGTGCCACTGTTTTCTGATTTATTCATAGAGATCAGAGGTAACATCAAGAAAAGTTGGGATTTGATCTGGTCCAACTTTGTAGCAAACTCCCGAAATCATTTTGCCCTTATTCACCCGACCCTTCCCAATATAATTCACCGCATAGATATCTTCTATATGAATAGAAGATTCTCCACAATTATAACGAGATTGAGATTGGGTCATGGTTGCTATCCTGCTCATCTTCATCGAATAGGTGTAATAGTGTCTCCAAATTGTTCTTGTGATGAATCTTTTATAGCATTGATTCCCAAAGTGGTCTATATCGACCCCAAGGGGTCTATGACAACCTGCAAGGGGTCTACGTCAGCGAAAAAAAATTTGGGGGGCCATGAAATGAATATGGGGGTCCCCGATAGTGGACCTCAACACATACACTGATAGTACCTATTTACTTACATCATACTATCTTATAATATCAAAACATATACATTATTTATAAAAGTACCTATGAAGTAAAAAATGTATTATATATGTTTATAAAATTGTGTAAGTTGTAGGATGTTGGTATTCGCTTTGTGGTCGCAATACATTTTGAACTTGTAAAAACCTGAGAGTCGCAGTCTCAGAGCTTCGCTACCTTGCACTGACTTGTTCAATTCGTCACTCTATAAATACGAATGTGGGACAAATACGTTTATTCGTTCCCTGAATCTTGAAGAGGAAAGTGCTAAGAAAATATTTTAAAAAATATAAACAGATAGTATATCACACAAATTATAGTGAGTCAATGTTATTTTGTTTGAGAGTGCTGGAGAAAAGTAAGTACATTATTTTTTATTAAATTTTAGTTTTGTACTCGTTGTTAGCAAAGATAGATAAATTACGCCAATCATGACTTTAGTTATTAGTAGTTAAATATTCAATCATGCAAAATTACACAAGTACTCCTCAATAGTTTCTTTTTGAAAGTTTCAGCAATCGGTAATATAATTACAGTGCATCTCCGTAATTCGAGCTAATTGTTGCAAGAAGATGTTCGAATTATGGAATGTTTTCGGAAAAATCAAAAAATATTTTTAATATACAGCTGCTAGATTTTCTGTCTTATTTAAATAATTTAATTTTGCCCACAGATGACTGATGCCATGTCCGAATCTAAAAAGAAATGTAGACAGTACAGTGTTGATTATTTTAAATTTGGCTTCATTCCATCATTGCCGGACAAACAATCGCCTATGTGCTTTTTATGCAACAAAGTTTTGGGCAATGACGCTATGAAACCATCTAAACTGCAAGATCATCTGAGAAGATGCCACCCTGATAACACAGAGAAAGATTTGAAATACTTTCAAACACTCAAAGATAAATTTCAGAAGAGACCTACACTGGACAGAATGTTCGCTTCGACGTCACAAAGAAATCATGATGGTTTGCGGCGTCTTACAATATCTCGTTACTTATAGCAAAATCCGGAAAACCGCATACTATCGGAGAGAAGTTAATTTTGCCAGCCGTTGAAGAGGTTTTAAAAACTGTTTTACACAAACCTGCATCTGATATCATTAAAAGAATTCCCTTAAGCAACAATACTATTGAAAGACGTATTGATGAAATGAGTACTGATATTGAAAGCTTCTTATGTAATTATTTGCAAACGTCCCGTTTCTCTATACAACTGGAAGAGTCAACTTTACCTGATAATGCAGCATTATTATTGGCATATGTTCGTTTTATTATGAATCAAGAAATCTACGAAGAACTGCTCTTCGCAAGAACTTTGATAACCGACACTAAAGGTGAATCAATATTTCATGTTTTGAAGGATTACTTCATTGAAAAAGCAATTCCTTTATCAAATATAATATCAATAGCTTCAGATCGAGCGCCTGCCATGGTTGGACGTTATCGTGGATTTATAAGCTATTTAAAACAAAATGTGTCAGGGGTGTTAGCAATACATTGCGTCATCCATCGACAACATTTAGTTGCTAAAAATTTGAGTGTTAGATTACATGAATCACTTCATTTAGTCATTGATACAGTAAACCGAATCCGAAGCAACGCAGTTGTGTGAAGAAAATGACGAACACTTTCATCAATTACTCCTTCACACTGAAGTACGCTGGCTGTCGAAAGGATTATGTTTGACATGATTTTTTGAACTTTTTGAGACTATTTTAGAATTTCTGGATACTAAAGATAAAATTTTAAAAGAAAATTCAATGAAGAGGAAAACAGACACCGCCTATTTAACAGATTTGTTTACAAAATTTAATATGGTTAATTTGCAATTACAAGGCGACAGTTTAAATTTGATTAAAACAAAGTCCATCTTAATTGAAATTGACAAGTCTTATATCATGTAACATGATCTAATAGGACAATAAACTATCTATCCATCTATCTATCTATCTATCAGCGTTTCTTGCCAGAGTTAAACTAATGAAGCAAAATATTGGACGGGGCGAATTTTCTCAGTTCCCCAATTTGTCACAGACAAGCTGCCAGGAAGACGACGTTTCAACTTACGTTCAACATTTAAATGCCCTCTATTCAGATTTTGAATCTAGGTTTGAGGATATTTTGACTATGGTAATACTACCGTGGATAATTAATCCATATGGTGACATAGAAGAAACGAATGTCATAATACAAGAGGAACTGACTGAACTAAGTACAAACGAAGAACTTAAGGTTCAGTTTAAAAACGGATATCAGCAATTCTGGCTACAAAACAACATACCCGTTACTTATCCCGTATTATGGAATATAGCGAGGAAATTTTTAATTTCCTTTCCACCGTCATACCTAGTGGAAAGGGGGTTCAGCGCTGTTACCAATCTCCTAACGAAAAAAAGAAACAGACTAGACATCATTAGCCGAGGAGATTTAAGATTAAGCCTTACAAAATTGACGCCAAATGTTGATAATTCATTATTAAAGCATCAGGTTCATCCTTCTCACTAAAAATATTGACTTATTGCTTATGTTATTTTAAATGCCCGCATTGGGAATAAGTGCCCAGAAGTCTTAACCGGCGGTCCAGAACCCCTCGCTCGATGTGTTCGGCCTTCCTGCGTTCACACTCGTTCACACTTCAATATACTGCGTAAAGATATGTTGATCCTCCTAGAAACTTCTCTTATCGATAGACTGGCTTCACGCAACGCGATAACTCTGCCCTTCTCAAAAACAGTTAGCTGGGAGACCCGGCGAATTCTACGCACTCTAGGCATTTTGAGCAATCACAAAAAGGCTTCACAAAGCTACACAAAATTTAACATTTAACTGACACCGTAAATGTACTTTACTCACCAAACAACACACGCAGCCACCACAAATACTAATCAGAAAAACTTGTCCGTTTTATCACTTGTTCATGACAAGATAAATCGATATGTAAAAAATTCTTGAATTCTAATAAACATTCTTGTACGTAGGTCTTTATCTTTTTTTGTTACTCAGTATTCGTTACAAACTACCGAAGTCTTTTAAATGCGTCATTGCAGACTAAGTTATATCGAGCGACAGGAACAAAAACATGTGTGTCGTGAAGCCCTATTTGGAGTATGGAAATGGGGCTTTCGACGCCTCCCATCCATCTTATCAAAAGGTTGACATCAGATTCATGGTCTTACGCATCTGATTTACCCAAGAAACGAGTTTTTGTCGAGACTAAAGATACACAAGAAGCTATAAAAATGATCTTTAGTAGCATGCCTTTAATCTTTAGAGACATTGATTTCGAATATAAACAGCAAGAAATGCAAAAAATTTGAGAAACCCCTATTTGGGGTAGGACTTTCTGGACCTCCGCCAATATCAACGATACAGTGATATCGTGTTTGTGACTCAAGCACCTGATATACCCAAGAGGGTGTCGGTTGAGATGGCCGATACACAAGAAATCATGAAAATTTGCTCAAGTTGCACGCCTTTAAACGTCAGAGTTTCCAATCGTAAATTTCTGTTTTCGCCTCTCGCTGTTACAAACGGAAAAAACTCGATGCACTGGAATAATTTGAAATGCTGATTTTGAGCATGGCATCAGAAAATGCTACACCTTATATGGATGGTTCTGATTTATGCAAAAAATACTGGTTTTGGTCTGTCTGTCTCTCCGCTAATATTTGGGCCATCTATAATTTGGAAAGTACTGCTCGGATTTGGATGAAATTTTTACATAATATTAGTACCGGGCCAAGGACAACAAACCTTTGTAGTTTTTGGAAATCGCTCTATTGGCGGCGGAGAAAAAGGCAAAAAACAAAAAATAAAAATCGCTCCAAACTTTGATTTTTGACGTTACAGAGGATCCTGATCATTTATGTAAATATGTTCAAGTTTACAAAATTAAGGGGTGGGGGGTTGTAGGGGGGATGGTATATCTCAATTTTCAGAAGCATTGTCAGACTATCCAATTGATGCTTGATGATGCTTTTAGAATAATGGCACAACACGTCAGAGGTCTGCATTTTTATTGTAAAGCTTCAGGATAAACGTGTCGAATTCATATTTTAGTGTAGACCTTCAAAATTATTTTCAATGTGTCTAGTTATAGATGAAGCCAACTACATGCCGCTATGAACCTGCATGTTTGCGCTCTCTTGTGACTCTGGGTCATAACATCAGTTTTTTACCATCCTCAATTGTCTGGTATCGGTTTAATGTGAGTTTAATACAAAAAAACAAAAGCGATGAAAAACATAACCTAACACATTGTCATTTCCGTTATCCCTACTAGTTCGAGGCGTATAACACCGAAGCTGGTGCATGAGGGAGCAAGGATTTCAAAACTGAGTAGCTCAGGTGCATGGCAATCTAAAGCACTGGAACGGTATTGACAGGTGGAGGGTAGCTCCGAGTTACTCGGAGTAACACAAATGGGGCACTAGAAAGCGGCTCCGGTATCGGGGAAAGGCGACGTTGCCAGATGGACGGTACTACCGGTAGACCAGGGGAAGAGTATGAAGAAGGAATGATGAATGGTATGTGCCTTTTCCACTGACTTGATCTGTTTTAATTTCTCCGTTATACATACATATTCGTATCTAACTTTTTATTGAGAGGATCTAGCTTGTGCTGAACATAATCCGTTACAAACTGAGTCAGCCTACTTGACATCATTTTCCTATGACATTGAGCAGTATTTGTGAAACATATTTGTATAGAGATCATCACTAACCATCAAAGATGTGCAATGTCTGCTAATATACACAAGGGACCTTCCTTTTCAGAAAGAACTACGTTTGAAATAAGAACTACCCTGTCATTTGTTTGGCTCATAAATACTGTTGATGTTGTCACCGTTCCATTAAAAAACACAAGTTTATTAATTTCTTTCTTTTGCAACATTTGGGACTGTCTAGGTCTTCTATCGTATCCACCTCAACTGTCTTTACACGATTTAAACGAACCTTCTTAGTTCGGGATGGAAACATTGCAACGATCTGAATATACCAGCGAAGAATCTTGAAGACACTAGCCGCCCAACTAACAATTATCACTCGTATTAGAGTTGAAAGAATGATTATACAGTATTCCTTACACAGCATTGTATACTGTAAAAACATTGCAAAACGCTCTTAGAACATCTATACAAGCGGAATGGGCACATCTTATAGGACACTTCAGTCATTTAAGAGAACCTCTATAAGGGCTGCAGGTAACAGTTATACAACAAAAGTCGCTATAGAACATTTGCGTCAGTGCAAGATTTAGCTTTTGTCAACTATACAACTATTCTGTTACATGATTCAAGTTTACTGCAACCAAACTATTTCTTACACAGGGTCCGGCAGTGAAGCGGGAAGACTTAAAAAAGTTATCACAAACGAAGGTATAACAATTTATTAATTAATTTAATTTAAAATATTCCTTTGATTTTAAATACCCCCAGAGAAAATAGTCAGGAGCTGTCAAGCCCGGAGAACGCTCAGCCCAGGGAATAGAATATCGCCGAATGTGTACGAAACCAATAGCGACATCTAGCTGATACAATTTTCAAGAAAAGAATAAACATTTAAGCTACAACACTAAATTCCACTAATGTACATTGCATTTTTGTCCAAATTAATAAATTGTTAATAATTGTTTTTAAATCTTCCTGTTTCACTGCCGGACCCTGTATATTGTATAGGCGAAGTGAAGAACATATAACTAACACATTACGGTCCTCTTGTTTACTTACATATTACTATATATACTCAGGTATATGATATACTTCTACGCTGTGATATAGGGCTATTGAATTACTTGCGCAGCAAATTTTATTGTGGTTATCGTGCAAAGTAGTTACGCAATTTCTACGGGCTTCGTATTTGATTCATATTTTAATAATGATCAAAAGTATGTCTAGATTTTGAAGATGAAAAACTGAACTTATCTGCTTTAAATCTTCCACAAATCATATATTTAGACACAATTATACTAATGTTTATCAGTTTATATCTGTAATGTCAAACTGAAACTTAATTATTTAATTTTCAATAGAGGAATATATTTTTGCCTAATATGGCTGGTGGTTATGTATAATCATGGCATCGTCCGTGTAGTCATTGCTTTATTAGAATATTTTGGTGTTGTCTGCAGGTGTTATACAACAATTTGACCAATCTCTGAAATGAAATAGGGACAGAGTCGTATGATTTACCCAGAATTTGTACCTGATCTATATCTTCTGTTTAAACAGTTGACAAGGCCTTTTAAACCAATATGCATGCGTTGTTTGTCTTATAATATTGCTTATGGCATTTTAACTAAAAAGATGACAGCAGAAAGTTAGGTTATGGCGAAGTTGTATACCAACATATTTAGCAACAAATGAATGCCGAGCACAGCAATTTTGTACTATAAAAGTTGTAATATTGTTGCAGATGTACAGCCTTTAACAGTTACTAAACGACAGTTGTATAAGTGCTTCCGTTGTGAGTAATTTGTTGGCTGAAGTAGTAAATTTGCAACCCAAAACAACAAGGCTCAGGTGTGTTGTATAAACTCCATGGATGCCTCAACACAACTATTTTGACTACCGCGCAAATATGCCGTGTAAAATAGTTGTATAAACGTTTATACAACAGTTCCATATTTGACGTACTGAAGGTGTTGTATAGCTATGCTATAGGAATATTTCAAACACCCCATTTTTGAGTATATATGATGCAGAAAGCAAATTTGCATTCCACACAACGTTAAGCCAGCATTTTGGTATTTAGGCAACAACAATAGAGAGCTTTTAAGGCTGAAAAGTTCTTTTACCAAAAGCTTATAGCACTACTTTTCTAGTTTTGGGCGTAAGCTAACATCAAAGCGATAAGTTCGTTATTGCTATAGGAAGACCCGATTGTAAATAAGCTATGTTAACCTACACACCGCGCAACACCTGATTAGGATACTGACACAATCGGTTCACAAAAATTCGTAACTTGTAACGTAGAATGTAGGCTCGGGCTTGGCCCTCTCCGAGTTTTTCGGAACTAAATACTTCTGTTATTTTAAGGCTTTGGTGCATGTGTTACTAGGAAAACCTGCTTATTGTTACCTGCCTACCTATACGCTCTATGCAGAAAAATCCCAACTTTAAGGATATATTATTCACATATTATAATGAACTTCTCAAACCGACCCTATTCTTGTCTAAGTCTTATCCTGAATCATCTTTTCCACCTCGCAATGTTCCGCCAATCTCATCCCACTGGGCTTCTTTATGTTCTCCCCCCAGTGAAAAGAGTCGTTCTATCCCAGATAATAAAGCAAATTCCCTTCAAGTGGGAATCTTACTTCCTGTTCCCTTCTCATATATATGTAGGTTATTCCGAATAGTATATAAGAATACGACGTATCTTTCCTTTTATATTCTTAACCGCCTCGCATTCCTTTTATATACTTTTATACGTGGGATTTCTTGTTTACTGCGACTTTGCATGTACGACGTTAAATAAAAATTCTCCAGTTGCCGTGCTTCTTAG